GAGGAAGAGGCAGCCCAAGAAGCTGAAGGTGTCGAGGAAGATAGTTCCAGCTCGGATCTTCCCGACACGCGGGCGCCTCCAGCCGCGGCCAAGGTGAAGGAGGACGAGGAGCCCGCTAGTGGGGCCCAGGCCGAGAGCACAGAGGAAGGAGTCCTCGTGCTCGGCCAGTCGGTGGTCACCAGCGCGAAGGAGTACCTCGCGCGGTCCGAAGCTCTTCTGAGAGCGCAGTCGAGAATACTGGAGGTTGCGGGAACCGCGATGGTGAAGCTGGAGAAGATCACCAAGCGTGAGGAGTCCCTCAAAACACTGCGCCGAGAGGGGGAGAGTCGGGCGGCCGGGGAAGGCGCCGACGGGGAAGAGGTGTCTGACGATGGTCAGGACGCCCCCGGGGTGGCGGGGTCGAGCAGTTCCGCCAGGCCTTCGGGAGGCGGGACCGCCCAGTCCGCCTCGACCTCAGAGGAGCCTCGCCCCAACGCTGACGGCCACTACGGATGTTCGGCTCCGGGATGCGGGCTGGCCTTTGAGTCGCTGGTGCAATACCACTTGCATCAGGCGGCCTGCCATGGCGCCTCTCTTCCGCCCAACCTGGGGATCAGCCCCTCCGCACCTCTTGACCCTTTTCGTCAGGACTGGCGGGGACGGCTGTTCCGCCGAGGAAAGGACGGTGGGTATGGGGAGGTGCCCTCCGAGTGATTAGGTACCACAAGGCCAACGGGTACGATCACTCCAGGGTCCCGCTCCTGAAGCGAGGGGACCGAATCCAGCTTGAGGATGGATCGCACCACATCTATGGTGGTAGCCATCCGCCGGGGTGGCTTCGCGACGACCCCGAGCTGGACCCCCCTCCAGAGGGGAGCGATGGAGGGTCCACGCCCAAGAGCGAGCCCACGGAGGAGGCCGATCCCGAGCCTCCGCGGAAGGCCGCTCCGCCCTCGAGCCGCCGAAGGGCGACGTCCAGCGACGCCTGGCCGAGCGTCGCTCCAAGCGAGATTACTCGCCGGACCTGGTGACGCCTCTTGACGATCTCCATGCCAAGGAGATCGACTCCTTCTTCGCGGGCGACCCAGCCGCGGATAGCCTTGACGTCATTTTGATGCGCGCCGAGGTTCGCACTGAGTCCCACCTCAACGTCGGCCGGGAGCGAGAAGAGCCCCTGGCCAAGGAGGAACAGGAGGAGGAGGCTGAGGTCGTCAAGGACGAGGAGGTCTCGGTTGAGATGGAGGCAGCCACCGCGGATGAGGCGGACGAGGTCGCCCTCCCAGCCAACCGAGCCTACGTCGAAGGCCGCTTTTACCCCTACGGCAGCTGGCGGTGCTTCTTCTGCGAAGCCATCAACCCGGTTACCGAGGACCAGTGCCTCACCACGCACGCGGGGGGCCCGAATGCGGGCGCCCCGTGCGACGGCCGATGGATCAATGGGATCGACATCGGGTGGTGGGAGGTGGATCCTCAAACCGCGCCGGAGCAATGGCGGCGGAGGTTTTCTGCCGAAGAGCTTGAAGACCAACAAGCGCGGGCAGATGCCGCGAGGCTCCTCAGCGATGAGGAACTCGCTGAAGCCCTCCAGGCGGCCGAGGAGGCGCAGGCGGCCGAGCGCGCCAAGAAGCGGGAGCGGCGCCAGGTGGAGAAGGCGGAGCGCGATGATCACATCAGCGAGGCGCTCCGCATAGCAGGGTGGCAGTGCCCTAACTGCTATGAATGGAACCTTTCATTCAGGCAGCTGTGCTTTCGGTGCAGCACGCCTCTCCGCTTGGCAGAGGTCGTTTCCCGCGGGATCCCTGATCCGCGGCGCGGCGAAGAGAGGGACTCGGGCTCCGAGAGCAGCCAGGACGAGCTGGAGTACGAGATCCTTCTGGCCAATCGCGCGATGGATCAAGAAACGATCCAGCCTCTTCTTAGGAGCAAACACAAGAAGAGGGGCGGCAAGAGACGTCGCGAAGAGGCGACGTACGGCAAGGGCCGCGACCCTTGGAGTGCTTGGGCAGACGCCCGTGGCAAGGGCCAGGGCAAGCCGAAGGGCAGAGGCAAGTCCGATGCCAAGGGCAAGCCCAAGGGGAGGGGCAAGTACGCCTGGGGCGCTTACGCCGCGGGCATAGTTGCCGCGTTCCAGCCCCGCCCAAGCACAAGCTGGGTCCCAGCCTTCCCGTGCGGGTCGGCCCGGCCACCGCCGAGTGTTCCGCTTCCGCCGCGGACCCCGTTTTTCCTGGGTCGCGGGCTCCTCAATCGGTTGATGCACGCCCTCAACGGGAACATCAACGGCTGGTGGGGCCTGGCGGCTGCAGCGTCGGCGCCGATTGCCTTGCAGTTGCACCGCGGGGCTGTGCATGTTGTCGAGGACTCTATGCACGCGGTTGCAACGGTTTCGGCCGACGTGGTCGAGGAAATTGGTCACGGGGCGAGGCGGACCGTGTGGGTCGCCGGAACAGCCATCACTCTGGTGGTAGTGATCTTGTGCGGCGCTGTTCTGTGGTACGTGAGTCGTGCCGTTGCCAATCGCATTGCGCATATGCGACATGGCAACACCGCGGCCCCTGAGGCGCGGCTGTCTCAACTCCTTGGCTCTGAAGCGACGTTTGAGGTCGCGAGCTCCAAGAAAGGGGTGACCCATAAGGTTTGGGTGCACCTCAAGGAGGAGACAGCTGCCTGTGGCTGTCGTGCTTACCTGGCAGAGGGACGTTGCGGGCATTGCGATGCCGCGATGGACACCGCTCGTTCCCTAGGGTTTTTGCACGCGGGCCAGCGAGGCGCGGGTCCTGCGCTCACAGACTCCATTCGGAGTACCGCCTCCGAAGCCCTGGCTAAGGGTAAGGTTGTGTTGGGTTTGGGGAACAGTGAAGGATGTTTCTCCCAACTTGCGGCCAAGAGCCGCGGGCTCTCCTGCTTTCAGGGGCTCGCGGGTCGTGACCTGGCCGCGGCCCCAGCAGATGGAGTGAGCGCAGCCCACGCACATTCCGGCTTCGTGCAAAGGGCCGCCACTGCCACTGTGGCGCGCACGCCCAGCCGGAGGAACAAGGGCCCAGTTCCCGCTAGGAGTTCTCCAGTCAAAGAAGCGGAATTCCTTGCGGGCGGGCCATACGTTCAGGCCGCCCAAACGCTGCTTGGGTCTGGAGCAGCAGAGGATGTGATCTACATCCGGGCTTACAGCTTAGATTGCCCATCCTGCATCGAGGCAATCGAAGCGTCGCTTGGCAAGGGCGCAAGCGTTCGGATTGTCGCCGACATGGGACAATGCCACCGCACCAAGCTTCAGTGGCAAGCGTTGAAACGCTTGGCGGCCGCAGGTGCCGAGGTGAAGGTGGGTTGCGGCACATCCTTGCGCGACGCCTATGCTCGCGACGGCCGCGGGGCTAAGGTAGGCACCGGGATTCAAGGGCTGCACCATGCCAAAGCCCTTTGCCTACTGCGGCCTGACGGCGCGGTGGTGCTGATTGGGAGCCTCAATTTTACCACAAGCAGCAAAGCCAATGCGGAGGCAGGGCTTAAGCTTGAGGTCCCCAAGACGCACCCTGTCGCGCAGTCCTACATCGAGGATTTCCAGAGGGTGTCGGCTGAGGCATTCTCCCTCGATGAGGCGGTTGCAAAGCGCCCTCAGTTGGAGCGAGCCAGTAGCTCCAACGTTGCTGGCAACGCCACTCGTGCCCCCAACACTGCTCCACAGGGTATCGAGTAGGCTGCGGCCAGTTGGCGCGGCGTGGTATGCATCCACGCATTATCAGAGCAGGCGTTGCAGCACGGCACGTTGCTTCGCCAACCTTTTGCACTTTCTTTTGCTTGACTGCGGGCGAAAAGCCGCGGCAGGTTGGAAACCTGCCCATTTTGCATTCCCCGCACTTTTCTCCTCCGCCCTGCCTGTGGCCCCTCGTGCCGAGGGTGCTCTTTTGCAGGTGCTGCGGACCGTGTCCTGGTCGCGGCAGTGCGCTCGCCGAAGCACGTGCGAGCTGCACTGCCTGCGGCACAAGCAATGTGCGCGGCTCTCGCTGAGTCCGGTAGCCCGTAGGGTAGTTCTGGATAGGTGAGTAGCCGTAGCCGTAGCTTAGGGCCGGTAGTATGTACAGTGTACCATTTGTACCATAGCTTTGCACTAGCAGCACAAAGACCTGCCCAGTACTCTGGAGCCTCGCCTGCCTGCACAAAGGTGAGCGCTCGCGACTTGGGGTGGTTTAGGGTCGTTGAGGGCTGCTGTCGTCGTGCGTCCGTTTGGTAGTGCGGGCTGCCGCCCAAGCCGCATGCCAATGCTCATGATGTGCGGGCTCTACCAGAGTCGCACGCGACACCCTCGCCCTACCCCATTTGCCGCGTTGCTGAAGTGCTTGACGCACTATGAGCTCTTGATGAGCCGGAAGCCTCGGCTGAGGGGCGAATGTGAGCAGGTCAAAGCATGCATGGAGTGCTTGCTTAGTGCTAGTGCAGCTTGTTGTTTTCCCTTGCATGTGTAGTTTTGCAATTCGTAACAATGCCAATATTTTGGCTCAAGTACCGAGCTTGTGCCTTTGAGCACGGTAGTTTCGTACAGTAGCTCTTAGGTTGCTGTGCGGTCCGACCGGACGCACTCAGGCGTAGCTGCACAAGTGCTTGAACTCGCGAAGTCGTAAAACAGCGTGACCGGGCTGTGATTGCATTGGCTTAGTGCAAGTCCAGTGCTGGTCGACTTCACAATATGTACATATATAAACTTGTACACAAGCACACGCTGTAGGGCACTGGAGGTAGAACTCTGGTCCTGAACCCCCTGGGATCCTGAAGCGCTCACTCTCGAAACTCGTTCTAGATTGTTACATGCATACCTATACACATGCAAAAAACACATATACAAATATATACACACATATATATATATATATGTATGTATACATTTATGCATATACACAATACAAATATATATATATATATGTTTACACACATACATATGATGTGTGTTTGTATATATATATATATATGTATTCTGATGTTAACTTCCCAGTACGTGCCCGAAAACGTGAACCCTGAGCAGCTCAAGAGGCTCACGGATTGGCGGTGCACATGCCCATAGCACAGCCTGAGCGAGCTCAGGCTTCGGTTTTGGTTTCGTGGGGCTCGCGCGACCACGACTCTGCATCCGAAACCCGAAGTGTAGAGGATGGTTGGGAAATCAGCGGAATCGGGCGTATGTGGGCCAGTGGATGCCTATGCCCTCGGACTCAAAATCCCTGCAGACGACTTTGAAGAGGGGAGGGTCAACATGGCCCAGGTTTTGGGTTGCGGGTTTAGGGAGAAGCAGCCCGGCCGAGATTGTGTCGCGCCAAGGAAGGTTCTTCTTCTCATTCATATTGTTCGCACTATTTTCGATTATGAATGCTTGTACTATGAAGCTCGTTTCTATCAAGCATATGAAAATGAAGATGTTGTGATTCTGAATGCGGTTACGCGTCCAGAACATGATAGACTGTTGCTAATTTCTTCATGTTGTCCATTCATATTATGCTTGTGTTTGTGGCTGCGGCTTTAGATGTGGCTGCTACTGCTGTTGCTGCTTGCTGTTGTGCCTGTGAGTACCATTCCTGGCCCTATGGTCATTCTTGCTACTATTCATATGTCCTGACACCAAGACCCCCACAACTCTGCTCTAAAGCCCAAACCCTAAACTTAACCCTAAACCCTTAACCCTAAACCCGAAACCCTAAACCCTAAAACCCCGAAAACCACCTGCTCAACTGTAGGAAAGGCTCATGAAGCCGGAGGTGATCAGGACGGTGAAGCTCACCAGGAAAAGGGTGGCCTTGGCTGGGGGGATCGGGATGTGCCCCCTTTGTGTGAGGACTGTAAGGATTCTGATAAACCCCCTAAGCCCCCCCTAAGCCCCCTAAATCCCCTAAGCACCCTACGCTCCCTAAACCCCCTAAATCCCTTAAACCCCTACCAAACCGCTACTACACCCCTCCTAAACCCCCCTCAGGACTGTTAGTATAAGGGGGAGCATCCCAAGCCGGGGGGGGGGGGGGGGCCCTAAACCCTAAACCCTAAACCCTATAAGCCCTAAGCCCTAAACCCTAAACCCTAAACTCGGTAAACTTTCACCGAGGGCTTGACCTGGCTTGGAATTTGTGGCCATGCGGGGCCCTGTAGTGCCCTAGGGTTGAGGGCTTAGGGTCTTGATGAGTGTTAATTTGGGTTTAGGGTTTAGGGTTTAGGGTTTAGGGTTTAGGGTTTAGGGTTTAGGGTTTAGGGTTTAGGGTTTAGGGTTTAGGGTTTAGGGTTTAGGGTTTAGGGTTTAGGGGTTAGGGGTTAGGGGTTAGGGTTTAGGGTTTAGGGTTTAGGGTTTGGGGTTAACTCATTTGGGTATGTATTTTGAACTTTGAGGGGGGAGGGAGGGGGAGGACCGTTAGTAGTCAGCGTGCAGTAGTCGGAAGAACTTTGTTTGTGTGATCCAGGGGGGCACAACCTTTCGAAAGTGGATGCATGCAGTTCGGGGTAACCCTGCACTTTGTAAAATCTTGGGCACCACATGCCAAAGCCAAACGGCCGAAGCTGCAAGCAGGGCTAAAGGCCCTAAGGCCCTCTAACACCCTTCAAGAACATTGCAACGGCACTAATCCCTTAAAGCCCTAAACCCCAACCCCCCCCAAGCCCCCACAAAAGCCACCCCAGGCCGAACCCTAAACCGTAAACCCTAAACCCCAGAAGCCAGAATGCACCCCAAGCGTCGATCAAGTAGTTGTCCGACTTCTTGGTCCACTCGTTGATGGGAATTTCCGAGAGGATGGAGGAGCCGAACCTCTGGCGGGTGGACCCCTAAACCCTAGACCCTAGACCCCCCAAAACGGCTCAGTTCGGGTTTAGGGTTTAGGGGTTTGGCCTTTGGGTAGGCTGCACATGAAACCCATAGTACGACCACATGAAGGGAATATCCCGTCATGAAGATGTTTGGGGAGATCTGGGTAGAGCCGGCTTGAGCCGGCACGTACGAAACCCTCAGCCCTAAGCCCTACTTGGAGGTTCATGGTACTTACTAACCACTTATAACTGTACTTATAACCCTACTTATAATTGGGATAACCCCTCTAAGGCCCTTTAGGGGTATTATAAGTAGGGTTATAAGTACAGTTATAATTGGCTAGTAGGTACCATGAGCCCTAAACCCAGGGAAGGCCCAAGCACAACGTCACCCATGCTGCCCGACGCCTAGCAAGGCCAACCCCTGAAACCTGACAACTCCTGACAGCCTCTGAATCTCAACCACGGAAGCCTACAGCCGAAACGAGGCCCCGGCTCGTAGAAGGAACGTCCCGGCCCGTATTGAAGCAACAGCAGCGCGATGCCAGCAGTGAGCCAATAGATGAGCAGGGCCTTTGCTGCTGCCTAAAGCCAGATATAAGCCGCCTCTAATGATTCAAAGAAGCCTGCCCTTTTGTTGGGTTCTGTCTCTCACCCGTGACTTGGACGTCTCTGCCAGCACAAGATGGAGGTAGAAACCCTGCACCTTGAATTCTGACTAGCTCATGTCCTGCAACGAAACCCTAAACCCTAAACCCTGTAAGGACACGAAAACACGGAAGCTGGCCAAGTTGCACTGAAGATGGACACCACTGCCTGGACCAGGCAGCAGAGGGCTCAGAGACAGGGTCTGGGGTTCAAGGTTTAGGGTTCCGGTTTAGGGTTTAGGGTTCAGGGCTTAGGGCTTAAGGTCTATAGGGTCCAGAACTCGTACTCCGAGCCTCGGCATGCCACGGCACATCGAAAACCAGGTTAGTTCGGGTAGAGGGTTTGAGAGGGTTTAGGGTTTAGGGTTTAGGGTTTAGGGTTTAGGGTTTAGGGTTTAGGGTTTAGGGTTTAAGGTTTAGGGTTTAGGGTTTAGGGTTCGAAGTGCTGGGGTCCAAGGTGGCTGGTAGCTCCGGACTTTGCACTTGCCCCAACCCCCAGACTACACCGAAATGCCGTCGACTTAGGGGCTTTTAAAGCATCAAAACCCAAGCACCTAAGCCCAACGGGCGTTTAGGGCTTAGGGCTTAGGGCTTAGGGTTTAGGGTTTAGGGTTTAGGGTTTAGGGTTTAGGGTTTAGTTAGGGTTTAGGGGTGTAGGGTTTAGGGAATCTTCCCTCCCTAGCAACCCATGCTTCGGATGTGCCTGCGTGCCGAAAAGGGATGCGCTGGGTGCAGAGGGTGCCAGCTTGGCTTCGGGTCGACAGCGTACCATGAACCTCCGGCGGTTGTTCACAAGGAGTTTCGGGGTGTAGGGTTTCGGGCTTGGGGTTTAGGGGTTCAGGGGTTTAGGGGTTCAGGGGTTTAGGGTTTGGTTTTTCACGTGTTAGGTAGGAGATATTCAGCTCTTTAAGGGATATCGGCCTCTCTTGGAAGGAGTGCGCAGCAAGCCGTTGCGGGGTATGTCTGAACACGTCTGCGCTCGAGGTTTTACGATGGCAGCGTGTTGCTTCGGGCAGAGGGGCTCTCGGCGAAATGAAGAGCGCCTCTCCCGACATAAACAGATCGGAGCCCAACCTCTCTCCTCCACCATATCACCACCAACAATACCCTTACAGCCTAATCCCCGCCTCCCGGGACTAAACCCTGCAAACCCCAAGCCGCGGAGACATGAACGCACATCCCCTTTCCCTCCCTCTATCTATTAACCCTAAACCCTAAACCCTAAACCCTAAACCCTAAACCCTAAACCCTAAACCCTAAACCCTAAACCCTAAACCCTAAACCCTAAACCCGAAACCCTAAACCCTAAACCCTAAACCCTAGACCCTAAACAAACCCACACTGGTCTGGGTTGACAGATGCCGCCGGCATGCGACACCATGACCATGGCCAGGACAACGTCGGTGAGGATGAACTGCCACTCCTGGGTCTGTATATAGGCTTTAATTAGTGTTTAGGGTTTGAAGCGTGCCAAGCGGAATCGTGGTAGCCCGCAGACCTACCCACCCCAGGACTTCCCACTTACAACTCTCATGGAGTTGACAGATGCGGGGCGACAATATTTCCGTTTTTCTCCTGCCGTCGCGTTTTCGAACTTCTTGCAATCATCTTTTCATCCTTCTTTGCCTGTTCGGAGAAAGCCGGTGAGCTAAGCGCCAGAAGCATGTCAAGAAGAATAAACCAACCCAACTTCAAAATGAAACCATTAGACTATCCAGCCATGGCAATAATACTAGAAAAAGTATTCACCTGCAAAGGTAGATCTTGGGCGGGGCGAGCATAACCCTAAACCCGAAACCCTGACCCTAATCCCTAAACAATTTAGAGTTTCGGGTTGTGGGTTTGGATTTAGGGTTTCAAACCCTCAACAAGAAGCCCAAGTGGAACTCAGCGTGACTGACACCAAGGCTGTACAACTTGGGGCGCTGCGCACCTTGCCTACGCACATCTTCCGAGGTACTTGAAGTCAGGGTTTAGGGTACAGGGTTTGGGGTTTGGGGTTTAGGGTTTGGAGTTTAGGGTTTACGGTTCAGGGGGAGGTTGAGGTACTTAGGGTTGAGGGTGAGGGTTCAGGGATTCAGTTCTTGACAGGTCTGGGTTAAAGGGGTAGCAGCGCGGCAGGCAAGCACAAGAGGCACTGGATCCGGACTTGGAGGATATGCGTCACTCGATCAAAATACCTGTTGCCAGAAGAACTCTTATGTTTCCCTTATAAACCTGTAGAGACCCTAAAACACTTCCAAAGCAGGACCTTTAGACCGGCTGGACTGATCCCCCCCCCCAACCCCCCCCCAACCCCCCCCCAACCCCCCCCCAACCCCCCCCCCCAACCCCCCCCCAACCCCCCCCCCCAACCCCCCCCCCCCCCACCCCCCCCCCAAACCCCCCCCCCCCCCCCTCACCCCCCCAACCCTAAACCCTAAACCCTAAACCCTAAACCCTAAACCCTAAACCCTAAACTCTCAACCCTAAACAGATCGGCCCAGCAGCGGCGAACGTCGAGTCGGTCCATATCAGTACCGCCAGCTTGGTAGAAGTAAGCATCAGGTTGTAGATCCTTGGCCGGCTAACTTTCAGCCGAGGGTTTTGGGGTTTAGGGTTTGGGGCTTAGGGTTAGTCCTCCTCATGGCAAGTAGTATAAGGATTTAGGGTTTGAGGTTAGAAAGGAGCCAAAGCCAAGGATCATGAAATAGATGAAGGTCGCCATGTTGGTTGCCTGAGCGATGTCGGCCAAAAGGAACCAGCGCGCGAAGCAAACAAACTCAGAACCCTCAGCCTCTAAACCTTAAACCCTGACCCCCTAATCCTTGAACCCTGACCTCCAACTCTGAACTTCTACACCCTAAACCCTAAACCTGAACTCTAAACGCAAATTAACAAGCCTTAAGCCGGCACACCCTAAACCCGAAACCCTAAACCCCAAACCCTAAACCCTAAACCCCCAAACCCTAAGCCCCCAAACCCTACACCCCCGACCTGGGCTTCGTAACGCCAGGTGGCCAAGCACGAGCGGCCTTCTTTGATCAGACCGGTGACGGCCGCCAGGCTGATGTAACCTGCGCTCCTAAACCCTGCACAACCTCAACCAGGGGCTTGGTGCCTCTAACCCTAAACCCTAAACCCTAAACCCTAAACCCTAAACCCTAAACCCTAAACCCTAAACCCTAAACTCCTAAACCCTGCACTCCTAAACCCTAGTTGTTCGGGGTTTAAGGTTTCCTGCGCCCCTAAATCCGACACTCATAGAAGCCAAAAATGATGCTCTGTATAGTAATAGGATGACAATAACAGTAATACTCGCAAGAATCACAACTTTAAGGTTTAGGGCTTTTCAAGTCTGAGTCCTGGACTGGTTGGATTGAAGGGTTCGGGTTGCTTCCGCTTCGCCGTAAAAACAGGGGGCCTTAAGGGTAGAGGGTAGAGGGTTTAGGGTTTAGGGTGTATATTTGTAAAGGAATCGTAAGGGAATACCACTAGTAATTTTCCCCTCTATCACCCTGGCATCAGGTGCAGCCTTTGGCTGATCAGCCCTGGATGCTACTTTCTGCTACGGCTGCACTGGTCTTGGGGTTAGGGTTTAGGGCTTTGGTGGCTCCCCAGTTACGGGCTTCCCTCAGTGCCTAAAAGGATACCTGTTTTGGTTTGGTTTGAAAGGACCTGCTGGAAACATCACAGTTCGTCCTCTTCATCCTCTTTCCCATCTTCGTTCCTCCTTAGGGCTTAGGGTTTAGGGTTTCGGGTTTAGGGACGCCACATCCCTGAAACCCTAACAACTCCGAAGTCCCAGGCCAGAAGTCTAGCGCCGCAGGCCTTTCTCCATGAGCCCTTTGCTGCTGCTGAAGGGCGACACCTTGGGTTTTGGGTATCTTCGGTCTAGCCCGAAACCCTAAACCCTAATCCCTAAACCCCCCCAATCCTAATGAATCCTAAAAGCATAAAAGCTCTGCCCCGAAGCTGCCCAACCCCAAACCCGAACCCGGGCGGGGGTGAGGGGCTGTTCCAGAATAGCAATTCTAATGCAAACGGACCCAGGAAGCTGACCCCAAGAAAAGATCAGTACCCCGAAATACCTTTGAGGCAGGCCTAAACCCCCCCCGGCTTAGAAGATTTTGGCCCCCCCCCCCCCCCCAGACCCCCAGAATCCGCATTATTGACACCCCCTCTTTTTTCCACCCCTCCAAATTCCGGGGACCAAAACAAGATGAGGGGGGGGGGTTTATTACTGGAACCCTAATATTAAACCCCAAACCCTAAACCACGAACCCCAAACCCTAAACCCTAAACTCCAAACCCTAAACCCCAAACTCTAAACCCCAAACCCTAAACCCCAAACCCCAAACCCTAAACCCCAAACCCCCCTCTACTCCGCTCCGAGTCGCCATGGACGCTTCAGCCTCCGACAGGGCCAACCCGGCGTGGGCGGTGCGGAGGGCCCCTGGGCGACAGGTTGTACCCAGGGTTTAGGGTTTAGGGTTTGGGGTTTGGGGTTTAGGGTTTAGGTTTCCCAGGGCCAAATCTCCCCTTCATTAGGGAATACACATATATATATATATACACATATAGATATATATATATACACATATATATATATATATATGTCTATTATACACCTTGAACCATGAAGAGGTCCGAGGGTTTTCATGGGTGTAGGGCCTAGGGTTTTGGGATTTGTTGAGGTTCAGGGTGTACTTTGTTTTGTTTAGGGGTTCGGAAAGGTTTTTGCTAGAAAGCCAGAAACCGTCCTGTTGCCCCGTCCAGCGCGCAGCAAGTTTTAAACAGTGACACCTCACTGAAACGACTAACCGACACAAACTCTACACCCTGAACAACAAACCCTAAACCTTGTATACCCTAAACCTTATAAACCCTAAACCCTACACCCTAAACCCTAATCCCTAAACCCTAAACCCTAATCCACAAACTCTTTAAGCCCTAAGCCCAGAACTCGTCCCAGCCCTACCAGGCTGGCAAAGGCCGAGGCGCCGCAGTCGTTCCCACCATCGCCAGTCATCCCGGTCACAGTCTGCACGAATGTTCGAAACAGGCAGTGGTAGGGTTTAGGGTTTAGGGTTTAGGGTTTTAGGGTTTTAGGGTTTTTGGGTTTTAGGGTTTTAGGGTTTCGGGTTTTTGGGGTTTTAGGGTTTAGGGCTTGGAGACTTCACGATTAGCGGGCTCTGCTTTTCCGAAAAAAAGTTGACACATGCGCTTCAAGATTCACTGAACCTTTGGCGATAAGCAGTTTAAACTTGACTTTAGGATTTAGGGTTTTAAGGTTTAAGGCTTTAAGGGTTTAAGGGCTTAAGGGTTTAAGGGTTTAAGGGTTTAAGGGTATAAGGGTTTAAGGGTTTAAGGGTTTAAGGGTTTAGGGGTTTAAGGGTTCAAGGGTTTAGGGTTTGGGGTTTAGGGTTTGGGATTTAGGGCTTCGTGTGCATCTCAAACTGGGCACCCGGCCCCTTCTTCACCGTAACTTTGCCACAAGGTAATGACTTTGATTTTGTCCTCGGTGAGCTGTGGCAGCCCTAAAATAAAGCGTAAGGATCATTTTAGGGTTTAGGGTTTAGGGTCTGAGGGTTCGACCCAAAGAGCCCTAGAAACACCACTTGCTTAAGGAATAGTTTAGGGTTTAGGGTTAGGGTGTGGGTTTAGGTACCATGAATCTTCCTACAGACCCCTGGTATAGTGAAAGGTATATTCCTTTAAGGGGTATGAAGCGCTCTTGGGGTGAATTTTGTCCAAAGGGCCTAAGCCCACGAAGAAACTGACACATCACAT